AAAATGTGCACAACAAACATATACCAAGCGTTGATGTTGCATTTTTAGCACAGAAACACTCTGGCGGATACGATAGGTGGAACTTCAAAAGCTTTTGCTCTATTCTGGCACTTAGATATGTTATTTGTCTAGTCAGATGGGATCTACATTATTTAAATACATCTATCGTCCCAGAGATGTGCATCGTGGAGATGTGTATGCTGCATATCAATGATGACCTTACTGAAAAAATAAATACAATAAAAAATACAGTTTGATGACTTGTTGTCAAGTCCCAGCAGAAAAGATGTTTATTAGTGGTGGTTGTTAAGACATCCATAACAATTATTATTGATCATACTTAAGATTACAGAACAAACCCGTAATCCTAAATATTGAACTTTATAATGACTTTAAAACCATCAATGGTTTTCATCTACAACAATCTACTCTGGTGTATATCTCTCTTTCCTCCTCTTTTTATTTTGTTTTATTTTACCACCATTGAATAAACATAGCAATTGTGATTATTGTCTTCTCAAGCACCACTAATAAATAGCTTCTCTATAGATGTATTTATTTAAATTCAATAATTATTAAAAATCATTTGTTGTCCATGCAGTTTTGTTTTGTTTTGCTTTGTTTTGTTTTGTTAACATAGTAATTGTGATAATTGCCTTCTGCAGCACCACTAATAAATAGTTTATCTGCAAGATTTATTTAATAATTAAAAAATTATTTGTTTTTTGTTTTGTTAATTTATTTTACAGCTGTAAGTGTCATATCAGGCGCCACCAATAAATAGCTTCTCTGTTAGATTTTATAATTTATAATAATATTTGAATTATTGCTCCATCTATTAAATGACTAGATTTGTTGGGGTTGTGATGTCTCTCTCTCTTTATCTTTTTTCTGCATGTTTTCTAGCATGTTTGAATGTATTTTCTGTTTATCTCACTATCAGAGTGTTATGAATTAACTAGCACTGGTTTAAAAGCTTTGTGCTCCCTAAAGCTGTTGTTGACAGGGTTGTTTCTTTTATCTGTGTTGATCTCATCGGCATATTATAATCCTCACGGATAGATGGCTCCTTAGAGCGACAGCCTCTGGCACAGATATGCTAATATTTGTAGCAGTGAGGCATTAGACACATTGCAGGGAACGGCCTAAATGAAACCTTATATACACCCCTCCAGCTCAGCCCTTGGGTTGTTAAAATGCCAGTGTAATTTACACTAAAATAAGGGGCTCGAGTATGCTAGAGAGATGCGTGATTTAGGATACAGCCTTCTTACACAGGGTTTGCTGGTTTTAAGGGGCAGCTAGTTAAATGGAGAACAGTAGATCTCCATCACAGCCCTGCCTGAATAAGTTAAGCATAGATTGTTTCATGAAGGAAATTAAAGTACTTTTAGTCATGCATACTTTAACGTTTAGACTCCCCACAATTATGAACACAGAAGACGAAACAGACTTGCAAATTGATGAATTTGTTGACTTGTTGTCTAGGTTCATGTCCATTGCGAGACTCAGAAGCTTTTCTTGGCAATATATGAGGATTATGTGCTTCCAACATCATCTGCAACACTTTGTAGAGAGCTTAAAAGGGGTCATATGATGCTGCTAAAAAGAACATTATTTTGTGTATTTGGTTGAAATGTGTTTATGCGGTTCAAAAAACACATTGTTTTCCACATACTGTACATTATTGTTTCTCCTCTATGCCCCGCCTTTCTGAAACGCGTCGATTTTTACAAAGCTCATCGTTCTGAAAAGAGAGGTGTTCTCTGATTGGCCAGCTATCCAGTGCGTTGTGATTGGCCGAATACCTCAAGCGTGTGACGAAAATGTTACGCCCCTCACCATACTGTGATGCCGTGTCTGGCCGGAGCAACGAGACAAAAACATTAAAACCCATTATAAACAAGGCATTTGTTGCATCCAGTGGGGACATAATTATGGATTATAATGACTCATATTGTCTTTTTATGCATTCCGTTGCATCGGGCCGCGTAAACATAAAACCATGTCTGCATTTGTGATCGGAGAAATGACAAACAAGTGCTACTCTACACTGCTCAAAAAACTCTTTAAATATAAAAAACATACTTACAGTCTGTGAGTCAGAACAGCCGGCATTGTAGTCTACTCTTCCAGGATCAGGAAACAGTCCTCCGTAAAATGCGCTGCACACATCTGAATATTTGGGTTGAACTGTTCTGGAACAGTGTTGTAAATACAACTTAACCACTGATTTCTAGTTGTGTCCTCTTTTGGAAGACCAAACAAAGTAGTTTCGCTTTCACAATGAAACACAGCGTCACACACAAAGCGGCGCGGTGCGGCCTTGAGTGAGCCGCGGACTAGAGTATGCGGAGGCCGGCTTGAGTGAGCAGAGGCGGCGGGCTTGAGAACGGCGCGGCCGGCGGATTCGACGAATGAGCGTCCGGCGGGCTTGCGGCAACCACATGTGACGACCCCGGGCTGGACTCCGCTTCGTCCACCGGCGATCCACAGTGCGATTTCCTCAGCAACCAGCACGGATCAGCTCCAGGCATGACGAAGCAGATATCGTCCTCTTTTGGAAGACCAAACAAAGTAGTTTCGCTTTCACAGCGAAACACACAGCGTCTTCACGACATGGCGGCGGCGGCAACAACAATACTACAGCGAGAATAAAAGTTACGCCTTCTTTCTTTGCGTGAACATTTGGGGCGGCGTTATGCAAATCTTCCCACACAGTGACATAGACATGTGGGGGCGTGTTAGAACGAGCCGTTTTAGATAGGCGTGGTTGACTCTTAACTTTTATAAAGAATAACTCTTTGGATTTGAGACTTTAGTCGTTGCAACTTTACAGATCTTCTTTATGCACCAAGAGCTTGTAACACTCCAAAGATAAAGGAAAAATTGAAATCGCATCATATGACCCTTTTAATAAGATAATTCCCCTTTCCACAAAGCAAGTACATATAAATGCTTTACTAAATCTGAAGTGTTTCCTAGAAGGGTTTACAGTACATGGACATTTACACATTTGGCATACGCTTTTATCCAAAGCAACTTGCGTTTCATTCATGTTATACATTTTATCTGTTCATGTGAGTTTCAGCTGTAAATGGAGGCACTAATGTTAGTACTTGACGTTATTATGGCAGTGATGACGTTCTTATTTACCCTCAAGGAGATGTTCATGCGGCCGTTTTATTCTTCGCCCACAGCATGGATTGTTTCTGCGGTCGTCTGTTTGTGATTGAATTACACATGAAGGAGTAGTTATGCCATCAGTTTTGCTCTGTTGTGTCTGAGGGGGGTGAATCTGGCCTCTTTATCATTCTCACCTTCCACTTCATTACTGCTTTGTATTCTCTGGTCTGCCATCTCTGATTAAAATGAAGAAAACAACAAACTGAATGGAATGAGTGTATTGAATCACATCAGCGAGATAAAGGTGACAGACTTCACTTATCCGAAGAGTCTGGCGTTCCTCCAGTGCAGACGGAGTACGAGTTAGTGCTTTTCCCTTCGGGTTCGAGAGAATAGTAGCGTGATCTGCTGCCTGCCGAGAGAGAATAGACATAGCAGGAGGGGTTAGAGAGTTGTGGATCATTCAAGCTTTAAAATCTGATTGGATGAGGTTTGTTCGAAGCTGCGTTGGAAAAGCCAATATAACAATTAAATGTCTGCAGTTAGGCTAATGGACTGTATTACTTTAAACAATATTTCCATTATTGAAATTGTTACTATAATTAAATGCACTTATTTGTTGAACAGTGCTGTCTTTATGAAATACATCTGGTAAAATCCCTGTAAAGCATGGCCTTGAGTGGCTTGTTGCTTCATTATGTAATGGTTTAGATGGATACATATTGGTCATACTATGAATGCATTATAGATTTATCTACCTCTAAATGACATGCAGAAACCAAAATAAATGTGCTTGGTCACTTTGCATGTCGTTCAGATGGTGTCCTCCTGTCTGGATGGGCGGTTCTTCTTGGCCAGAAAAAGCCCTGTTCTGCAAGACTACAAGAAATGTAATAGACTTGCCAAATTTAGAAGTGCAGAAATATATATGCTTGGCTCTGCCTGTTAACCCATCTGAAATAAAACCTGAGCAGAGCCCAGTTAGAGCTACGGTAGGACAGCTAGTCGTGGATGGGTCACCAGTAGTTGCTTACCTGCGTAAGCAGTTTACCCATTAAACATTGCCATGCACCTCTTTTGAGTTCAACAAATCAGTGTGAAGTAGTGGTCGATCAGTATAGGTTTGTGTAATTGCCAATAGCAATATCTGTAATTTTATGATATGATCAAATGTAATTAATGCAGGATCTATACATAATAAATGTTGATAATAATAATAATAATAATTGAAAAATAGTAAATATCATTGATTATTATTATTATTAAAACAATAAAATGTGTTGCAGAAATGACAACAACAATAATAGTAATAATAATAATAATAGAAAAAATAAATGACAATGTACATTGTTTATTTATATATTATATATTTACTATTATATTTTTTATTATTTTATTAATTTATTATATATTATATGTTATAGATTTATATTATATTTTTTATTTAGATATATTATTTTGTTGTCATTTCATTTGTGAGAAACAATTATTTTTATATAGTTATAGTTATTAGTACTGTTGTTTTTTCATTTGTGCAAAATACCATTTTGTTGTAACGATAATTTAATAATAATTTTTTTTTTTTAAACTGACCCAAGGGGAAATTAATATTTCTGTTAATCGGCCAAGCAGGCATAGTTATCAGTCAAATACATCCTAATGTTTGCAGATTATTCAGTCACTATAGTAACTGCACACATTTGATTTTAATTTATAAAGTTCACAAGTTTTCTGAGGTTTGCATGAATCTCTCTGTTCATGCAAAAGAATATTGCAGGGATGAACGAATGTCGTTCTGAAAAATATTTCACAGTCTGAAAAATGATAGATTATTATTTTGAATGCTTTCTTGTGTTTGTCTTGCATGCTCTCAGGTGTCCGTGGTTAACCAAGGCCATCTCACCTGTTGTGCCTCTATACAATGGCATCGTCTTCCTCTTTGTGTTGGCCAACTTCAGCATGGCCACCTTCATGGATCCTGGAGTCTTTCCCAGAGGTATGATCCAGTTGTAGTGTAGGTTTCTCTGTTTCAGATGTCTGGAGATAGTACAGTAGGTCCATAATTAGAATGTGCAGAAAACTGCATGTCACACACAACGCTGATGTGCGTGTTGAAATGTCTGTTTCCCAGCGGATGAGGACGAAGACAAAGACGATGACTTCCGAGCTCCGCTTTATAAAAACGTGGAGATAAAGGGAATTCAGGTGCGGATGAAGTGGTGTGCCACGTGTCACTTCTACAGACCTCCGCGCTGCTCACACTGCAGTGTGTGTGACAACTGTGTGGAGGTGAGGCGCATAAAACACAGAGCAGAATTCCTGCGTAATATAAAATGATCACAATGCTCACACACACACACACACTTTTCTTCTCATTGTAGGAGTTTGACCACCACTGTCCATGGGTGAACAACTGCATTGGCCGGAGGAATTACCGATATTTCTTCTTGTTCCTGCTGTCTCTAAGTGCTCACATGGTGGGAGTGTTTTCCTTCGGCCTACTGTTCGTCTTACACCACCTTGAGAGGCTGAGTGCGCTTCACACAGCTGTGACGTATCCTTCCACAGTACGCAGTTCCTGGTCAGAAATAACTAGGGATGCACCGAAATGAAAATTCTGGGCCGAAACCGATAATTCTGGATGCACTTGGCCGAAAACCGAAAATGCTTTCTTATTTTATTAAATAATATAAAGTAATTTTGTGAGACTTTTTAATTTAACTCAATAATTGTAGCGATAATGAATTTAAAAAACACAAGCCAATAAAATAACCACACTTCTACTGAAAGTAACACAATAAAACTGAACAGAATTTATATTAATATCGGTAACACTTTACTATACGCTTAATTAGTTAACTACTTTAGATAATGAACTAAGAATGAACAATAGTTCTTCGGCATTTATTAATCTTAGTTAATGTTAATTTCAACTTTTACTAATGCATTATTAAAATCATCAGTTGTGCATGTTAACAGTTAATGCACTCTGCACTCTAACTAACAGTGAACAACTGTATTATCATTAACGAACATTAAGAAAGATGCATAAATACTGTATTAAATTTATTGTTTATTGTTTGTTCATGTTAGTTAATACATTAACTAATGGAACCTTATTGTAAAGTGTTACCTCAATATTAAATATCAATATATTATTTTTATTTACTTCTATGTAACAGAATCAGATATAAGTGTGTTTTTTTGGGGGGGGGTAATTATCCAAATAATTTATAGTCCTAATTATTATCAGTAGGGCTGGGTATCGAGCAACAGAATCAGATATAAGTGTGTTTTTTTTGGGGGGGGTAATTATCCAAATAATTTATAGTCCTAATTATTATCAGTAGGGCTGGGTATCGAGTTCGATTGCATTTTAAAACGAACACTAACTAGTGTAAATGTAGCCTAACAGATGTGTAAACTGAAGACTACTACTTTGAGCTTTATTAAAACTATTTGCACTGATTTATTGTGTTGGTTACATTTTGTTCCTTTGTGCAGTGGCTCAGGAGATAAGTCTTTGAGTCTGTATAAACATCAACAAGCTGAAAAATAAAACCAACGTTTTTTTTTTAGATAATGTAATCTTGTTAAAATTGATTTCATAAAATTGGTATCGAAAGAAGTATCGTTCAGGAACCGGTATCGAAGTCAAGGTATCGGTATCGATATCGAAAACATTTTAACGATACCCAGCCCTAATTATCAGAGCATGTGAGCAGAGCATAGCGTCACTGAAGGTAGTGTCATTTTACCAGCGTTGTCCAGTACAGCTGTACTACAGCATGTTATAGCACAGTAGCGCTACTGCAAACAGGAACAAGTATACTGCATAGAAATTTCCTGTCAGCGCATTATTTGAGTGGACTTTGCTTTTCCGGTGAGCATGAGCGGTATACGTGCACATTCATAGAGCACAATACTGAGCAGAGCGTCAAACCGTGCAGTGAAGAGGAGAGTGAAACATGCACGCTGAACACTGCCGGGCATATATATTATTATATTTATATTTTCGGACATTTTTCTCTTTCGGCTAAAAACCGAAAATCGGCGGCTGAAAATTCGGTGCATCCCTGGAAATAACAGATGGCAACTATGATAAAAGCTCATTTACTGTAGTTGTATTTAGGCTATTCTATGTGGATTTACACTACTGTTCAAAAGTAAGATTCTTTTTTTAAAGAAATGGCTATTTTTATTGAGCAAGTGTAATGACAATGAAGACTTTTATAATGTTACAGATGATTTCTATTCCAAATAAATACTTTTCGATAGCGTATTGAAGCAACAATAACGTCTGACTACAACGAAATCATACATTTTAGTTTAGCCTACAAAATAACAAATGTTTTTTGTTGTTGTTTGTTTCGTTTTTTGTCCCCCTATGAAAACTCGATTTTGGCAATTCAAGAAATCTGATGAAAGAATGAAAGGATTTTTTTTAAGCTGAATTTTTCTCTTGCGCAGTCGTGACCATCAACAGCATTTTGTGAGATTTTCATTGTCACATTGTCTTATTATATTATTTATTGTAATTATGATTTACTACTATAGTATTTATTCATATTTTAAATTAGATTTTATTTTTATATTTGTAGTTTTTGCACATTTTTGTGCTTTTGTCTTTTTTTAATTTTTGAAATTTTAGTAATTTTAATACTTTAGCTTCAACTTATTTCAGTTAATTGCCAAGGCAACCTTTCTAATTTTCCTTTAGTCTAATATCTAATATTTGTATTTTATTTTATTTCAGATTTTTTATTTAGTTTTTCATTTTTTTGAGTTTCTTTTAAATATTTCTGTGTAATTTTATTTTTATTTCAGTTTAAAGTTTTAGTAATTTTAGTATTTTCTATTCAAATTATTTCAGTCAATTGGCAAGGCAAAATTTCGAATTAAAATTTTCTTTTAGTCGAAAATTTTCTAACATCTAATATTTGTATTTGATTTGATTTCAGATGTTTAATAGTTTTAATTAACAATAACAACACTGTAACACTGTTAGGGAGGCCCCGCCCACAGTGAGATCACATTGGCTCAAAATCCTGCACTACTTCTAATTAGCTGTATCTTCGTGCAGCATTTCTCTTTCAGCGAGGACAGAAAGAAAATCACAACAGGCTCCTTGACTTTCCTGCTGTCCAGTCTTGTGGTTATGTGTGTGACTGGCCTGTTTTTCATCCCTGTTATGGGCCTCACTGGGTTCCACATGGTTCTCGTAGCCAGAGGACGAACCACAAACGAACAGGTGAACCAAATTACCCACCACTAAATATGTTTATCTGGTTTGTGTAACAGCATGCGCACTTGTAGAGGCAGAACTGTGCTCCACTCAGAATCACCTTGATGTCTTTTCAACTTGATTGCCTTCTGTTGTTCGTGCATGACATCTGTTGCAAAGCCTGGTATTTTCATCGCACATCACGGTCCTGTGGGTCAAGGACAGTTGTTTTCCACTCTCTTCAGTTTGCTCAAAGCAGGATTCCTCCCTCTCTCTCTCTCCCTCCCTCCCTCCCTCTCTCTACCTCCCTCTCTCTCTCTCTCTCTCTCTCTCTCTTCTCTCAGGTGACAGGAAAGCTCCGGGGGGGAGAGAATCCGCTGATACCCAGCCCTAATTATCAGAGCATGTGAGCAGAGCATAGCGTCACTGAAGGTAGTGTCATTTTACCAGCGTTGTCCAGTACAGCTGTACTACAGCATGTTATAGCACAGTAGCGCTACTGCAAACAGGAACAAGTATACTGCATAGAAATTTCCTGTCAGCGCATTATTTGAGTGGACTTTGCTTTTCCGGTGAGCATGAGCGGTATACGTGCACATTCATAGAGCACAATACTGAGCAGAGCGTCAAACCGTGCAGTGAAGAGGAGAGTGAAACATGCACGCTGAACACTGCCGGGCATATATATTATTATATCTATATTTTCGGACATTTTTCTCTTTCGGCTAAAAACCGAAAATCGGCGGCTGAAAATTCGGTGCATCCCTGGAAATAACAGATGGCAACTATGATAAAAGCTCATTTACTGTAGTTGTATTTAGGCTATTCTATGTGGATTTACACTACTGTTCAAAAGTAAGATTCTTTTTTTAAAGAAATGGCTATTTTTATTGAGCAAGTGTAATGACAATGAAGACTTTTATAATGTTACAGATGATTTCTATTCCAAATAAATACTTTTCGATAGCGTATCGAAGCAACAATAACGTCTGACTACAACGAAATCATACATTTTAGTTTAGCCTACAAAATAACAAATGTTTTTTTTGTTGTTGTTTGTTTCGTTTTTTGTCCCCCTATGAAAACTCGATTTTGGCAATTCAAGAAATCTGATGAAAGAATGAAAGGATTTTTTTTAAGCTGAATTTTTCTCTTGCGCAGTCGTGACCATCAACAGCATTTTGTGAGATTTTCATTGTCACATTGTCTTATTATATTATTTATTGTAATTATGATTTACTACTATAGTATTTATTCATATTTTAAATTAGATTTTATTTTTATATTTGTAGTTTTTGCACATTTTTGTGCTTTTGTCTTTTTTTAATTTTTGAAATTTTAGTAATTTTAATACTTTAGCTTCAACTTATTTCAGTTAATTGCCAAGGCAACCTTTCTAATTTTCCTTTAGTCTAATATCTAATATTTGTATTTTATTTTATTTCAGATTTTTTATTTAGTTTTTCATTTTTTTGAGTTTCTTTTAAATATTTCTGTGTAATTTTATTTTTATTTCAGTTTAAAGTTTTAGTAATTTTAGTATTTTCTATTCAAATTATTTCAGTCAATTGGCAAGGCAAAATTTCGAATTAAAATTTTCTTTTAGTCTAACATCTAATATTTGTATTTTATTTGATTTCAGATGTTTAATAGTTTTAATTAACAATAACAACACTGTTTGTTAGACAGGGAGGCCCCGCCCACAGTGAGATCACATTGGCTCAAAATCCTGCACTACTTCTAATTAGCTGTATCTTCGTGCAGCATTTCTCTTTCAGCGAGGACAGAAAGAAAATCACAACAGGCTCCTTGACTTTCCTGCTGTCCAGTCTTGTGGTTATGTGTGTGACTGGCCTGTTTTTCATCCCTGTTATGGGCCTCACTGGGTTCCACATGGTTCTCGTAGCCAGAGGACGAACCACAAACGAACAGGTGAACCAAATTACCCACCACTAAATATGTTTATCTGGTTTGTGTAACAGCATGCGCACTTGTAGAGGCAGAACTGTGCTCCACTCAGAATCACCTTGATGTCTTTTCAACTTGATTGCCTTCTGTTGTTCGTGCATGACATCTGTTGCAAAGCCTGGTATTTTCATCGCACATCACGGTCCTGTGGGTCAAGGACAGTTGTTTTCCACTCTCTTCAGTTTGCTCAAAGCAGGATTCCTCCCTCTCTCTCTCTCCCTCCCTCCCTCCCTCTCTCTACCTCCCTCTCTCTCTCTCTCTCTCTCTCTCTCTGTTCTCAGGTGACAGGAAAGTTCCGAGGAGGAGTGAATCCGTTCACTCGGGATTGCTGTGGTAATGTGAAACACGTCTTATGCAGTCCACTTGCTCCTAGGTAAAGAAAAAACTGGCTTCCACACACACACACACACACACACACACACACACACACACACA